CTCCTGATATACCAGATGTGTGACCTGGGGCATGTGGCTTTAACCTGTCTGTGCCTAGTTTCCTCATCTGTAAATGGAGGTGATAATGTAACTATCACCGATGGTAAAGCGAAAGGCACCTCATGCACTATTTATCGTGTAAAGAACGTAAATCAAGACAAGATCCCTAAGGACGGGGACCACGTATAGCTGTATCTCCAGAGACTTGTACTGTGCCTGGAATATTTTTGGGGCTAATGTATTGGGTAAATGGACAACAGAGGTGCCGCAGCGTTTTAGACACTGATGCAAGCAGGGAATATAATCAACGCGATGGCCTCTAACGCTAACAGATTTTCAGTGTTACTATAAGAAAGATCTTGACGCGGGAAACAGGTTGGATAAGCACATTCAACCTCAGACCATCATCACGGTGGTGATTTTGCTGCTAATTTTTCCGTGAAGGATCATCCATGTCACTGTTGTCTTTATTGATGTTAATCTGTTATGCCTCCATTTAGCATGGAAGGCCAGAAAAGTCACATACACGCTTAGGTCCAGTCCCAGGTCTCAACTCAGGAAAAAAAAAAAAAAAAAAAAAAAGAAAGGCTCTGCTTAATTTGCTTGTACCAAGCTGCAGGAGACACTGTCTATTTTTAGCGCTGGAAGGAGCTCAACCAAAGAATGCTAGCGTCCCTTGGTCAGATCCGCACGTGGTTTCAACTTTTGTAGAGTCCCCAGCAATGGGCAGACTCATTCAGAACTCCATGCTAAAATAAATGAAATGTTTTTAGACATCATCCATGGCCTGGAAGTTTCTGCAGTCCCCTACCTCTCCACTAACACCGAAACGAAAGTGCCAACCAACATCAGGGTAGGTCTTGGTTTACGGGCACAGCGACAGAACGCTCCCCTGGGTTCAGCTTCGGTATATGACATCAGGTCCTACTTGGATGGCGAATTGAAATCGTTCGGAGACACCTTCCCCCCCCCCCCCCACCTCCCCCACCCCGTAATTCCCTTTGAACTTCCATCCATGCTAATTTAAACAGGGTCAGTGTTTTCCTCCTTCTATATGACTACAGTGGAGCTCAAAGCATAAAATTCGCCAGTGTTTTCTCCTTTGTATGTGTTCAATAGGTACCCCCGAAGCAATTACCTTCTGGGAGACGTGGGAGGAGCCACTCTGTGGGAGCAGAGGCCATCGGTAATATGATACGCAGTTGTTGTGTGTCTAAAGTGCTAATACTTTTGACAGCAACCATCCTGGAGGGGTGTAGCAAGTCATTTGAAATTTGTACACAGACTGCCCTCTCCATTACGCCTCGCCCATATCATCCCCATAATCTCCCAAGGCAGATATGCTATTACACTCAGCGGGCCAAAGTCGGCCTGTGCTTACATACACACAACTCCCACTGACTCTGTGCCACCGAGGCACTTCAATGGCACTTGTCAGCGGCATAAAATTTAGCCCGGGACAGCCGCAGCCACGGCGGGCGCAGCTACACAGAGAGACACCTGGCCGTGTATGAGAAAAGGCTGAGGAAGAACAAAAAAGCTGCCGGTTTTCATAAGAAATCTTAGCCCCGGAGCATTCAGAACTGTAGCCCGACACTCACCACCCTCTCCTCGTCCTACGGCCTGCCGAGCCCAGGCTGGGAGTTGGAGGAAGCTAACGCAGAGTGGGCATAAAAAAACAAAACCACACAACAACAACAACAACAACAACAACAACAACAACAAAAAAAACAAAAGAAAAGACTTCGAAGCAAAACAAAACCTAAAAAAAAAAATGCACAAAAGATCTGCTACAGGGCAGACGTTTGCATCCAACCTTATTATGCAAGGGAAGAATTCCCCATAGGCGGTCCTCAGAACATTTATTTATCAAAACGTAAAGGAACATCTTGGAACCAATGACCCTCTTTGATACAGAGTACTTAAAATACCTAAAGCAAGGGCACAAAGATGCCCCGGTTTTGAAATTTACCGGTTCGTCCACTCGAGTCCCACAGGGTCATGGGTGTTCTTTTTTTTTTTTTTTTTTTATCGTTTATTTATTTTTGAGACAGAGAGAGACACAGCACGAACGGGGGAGGGTCAGAGAGAGAGGGAGACACAGAATCGGAAACAGGCTCCAGGCTCGGAGCCGTCAGCACAGAGCCCGATGCGGGGCTCGAACTCACGGACGGCGAGATCATGACCTGAGCCGAAGTCGGACATGTAACCGACTGAGCCACCCAGGTGCCCCGGTCATGGGTGTTCTGATATAGGAACAGACGTGTTGTCACGCTCCCATGAGAATTACCGTGTTAGCCCTTTCATGATTCTGTCCACCATGGTATCTACGGTGATTCTCGGGGACCTCTTTCTTGCCCCTCCAGACGTGCCCACATCACCCCTTAGAAACCATCATGTGTCACTGACCTCAAGCCCAGAATGTGGTAAACTCCAGGATTTCATTTCTACCCTGAGCACCTGCCACTGTCGACGATGAAGTCGGCTACCCCCAATCGTTGAAAAGGCTGGAGTTTGGCGAGGAGAGCCTCGGCTCGAGTCCCTGCTCCGTGTCGCCCTGAGCGTGCGTCTAGGGTATGTTGCTTGACCTCTCTAAACCCCAGTCTTCTCATCTGCCTCCTGAGGTGACCCATATCTTCTTCATTGTGGTGCCGTGTAGACAACACCAGAAAAGGTTATGCTGAAGCACTCAGCACAACATAAAAGTTCCACCGAATGAATGGATGCAGCTGTCATACTGTACGGTACAAAGTAGGCACTCGGTCAACTCCTCCTCTTCCTCCTCCTCTTTTTTCCTCTTTTTCCCCACCACGGTCTAATAATAATTTAATGCTCACGTAAGCCTATGTATATTAAGAAAAATACTGCCTTTAAAGAAAATAACTTAAATAGAAATCCACGAATGACAAATGGCCATATATGTAACAGGACACATTTAAAGCTATGCTCCTCCTTTGATGGTTGTTAGAGGGCAAATGAGAATGATCTATTTAAAAGGAAAAGGAAAGGGGCGCCTGGGTGGCGCAGTCGGTTGAGCGTCCGACTTCAGCCAGGTCACGATCTCGCGGTCCGTGAGTTCGAGCCCCGCGTCAGGCTCTGGGCTGATGGCTCAGAGCCTGGAGCCTGTTTCCGATTCTGTGTCTCCCTCTCTCTCTGCCCCTCCCCCGTTCATGCTCTGTCTCTCTCTGTCCCAAAAATAAATAAACGTTGAAAAAAAATAAATAAAAAATAAAAATAAATAAATAAAAGGAAAAGGAAAAAATAAAAAGGGACCGAACTAGACATTCAGTCAGGTGCGATTAATGACTACTTCCAGTGGCCATTTTAGCTGAGTAAAGGAGCCTTGCCTCTCTATCAATGTGCAGTGGTTAGGGGAGACCATTTTAAGAAGTTGAACGTTGAATGCGTGATTCATTCAAAGGGCACAGAGATTTTCTTCCTTAGTTTGGGAAAGACCAAAAGTTGGGTGCAATCCTACTAACGCTATAAAAGTGGTATGCTTCCTGATAATGAATTTGGACATAGAAAACTATCTTTCTGTGGAATAAGTTTCGCTTCCCTGTCATTTCTTCATTTTTTGGTTCTCATTTCTTCAAGATGAGGATCCTCGTTGGGAGTGGAATTAATCATGTGTTAAAAAATCGCATCACTGTAAAAGACTTTCACTTATTCGAGAAAAGGTAGTCTAGGTCATATTCAAAAACTACTGTGTTCTCGAACAGGAAGAAGTGCAATAGGTTAATTTGAAAAGTATGAATAATTCAACACAGAACCATGCATTTCTTTTTACGTATTTTCCCATATAAAACTGTTGCTTTGTCATTGTTAAGCAAACTCCCCGTTGGTACATGTGACTTCCTGAGGTCTCTGACAGGAGATGCGATATTGCGTTTATTAGAATAAAGTAACCATTGAAGTTTAATACATGTGGAAAGATGTTTGCACACGCGTGTGTGCGCGTGTTCGTGTGTGTGTGTGTGTGCAGGAACTGACTCTTTTCAGTTCACAGAGTAATCTTCTGTGGTTTGAAGTTGTAGCTAGGAAATGTTGACAGTGAAAAAAATTGGAACAGGATCTGTACAAAGACCAGAGGATTTGTAGGGCGCGTGGCCAAAAATTCGGTAAGTCAAGACGACCCTGCAGCCACTCCTACCTGTGTAATAACATCAGCAAAAATAAAACAGCAAAAATAAAAATAAATATAAGTTTAGGTAGTACATTACGGTCTAAACAGAAAATAAAATTGATACACACACTCCAAATATACACGATCAACTCTGTAAATGCTCTTTGTCTCATCAAAGGTAACAGGGGCGCCTGGGCGGCTCAGTTGGTTACGCGTCCGACTTCGGCTCAGGTCATGATCCCACGGTTCGTGGGTTCAAGCCCAGCGTCAGGCTCTGTGCTGACGGCTCGGAGCCTGAAGTCTGCTTGGGGTTCTGTGTGTCCCTCTCTCTCTGCCCCTACCTGCCCACCTCCCCCACTGCCCTGCCTGTGCTCCATCTCTCTTTCAAGAATAAATATTTAAAAAACAATTTTAAAAAGACGATAGAAAAATAATAAAACTCAAAGCTGCCTTGTGCCTTTCAACTTCATTTCCTTTTACGAAGGGCTGACCGTGGTGGCCTCTCGCGTCTAGCTAATTTTGTGTCCGGGAATCGTGTTGAATAGACTTCAGTTTCGCAAAACAAGGTAGCCCTCATGGCTCGTCCACATGTTGTCTCAATCTTGCACTCAGCGAGGCGTGGCAGATCGTGGTATCGCATCGGCCCTTCCTGGAATCGATTTAGGACACTATGCATTTCCGCAAAAATTAAATTCCCCGTGAAAACTTAACAGGACCAACAAGAGCATCAGCAAAGTGCTTTTGGGAAAAGCGCCAGAAGTTGAGCGAAAAGGAAGGCAGAATCGTTTCTATCAGGGAGAAAGGGAAGGGGGTCAGACAGACCAGCGCAGGGAAAAGCAGGGCAGGAGGAGAGACACGAAGGAGAGAAGGGAGCTAAATTAGAACGAGAGGCTATGTTTATTAATAACCTTGCTGACCCACAGGCCCCTGACGTGAAATACGTTGAGTATTGTTGGGACACTCTGCTCTGCCACTCGCGGGAGGAGCAAATAAAACAGTGTCAGACATTGCACGCTCTCTGCGAACAGATTGAAAAGGATCCACCACAAACAAACAAACAAACAAACAAACACGCAAGCCAAAATAAGGTGAAGCCACAGGACTCACACGCTTGAGCAGGCTGCAGACCAGGTCCCGCTTTATTCTCCTGCAGCATCTGGACCCGAGGCTTCCCCGATTCCGGCCGACTAGACTGGAAAACGCACAAGAAAAAAATGTTACCGCCTCCATGGCAAAAATAATGCAAGTCCATTGTAGAACATTTGGAAATTATGGAAACACAGGTAGAGGTAAAATGAAAATGACCTATGGACCCATCGCTTGAGTAAAATCATTGCCCACGCTTTGGTATGTTTTTTTTTTTCTTTTAGCATTTTTTTTTTTTTTTTTGGTTTTATTTTTAATTTTGAGACCTGGGGAAGGTCAAAGGGGGGTGGGCGGACAGGGGACCTGAGGCAGGCTCCGCGCTGATGTTGGGGCTTGATCGAGCTCACGAATCTTGAGATCGTGACCCCAGCCGATCAAGTCTGGAGCTCAACCATCTGAGCCACCCAGGTGCCCCCATACTTTTCTAATCTTCTTCCTCTACTTTTTTTTTTACGTGCATGCATGTGTATGCTTGAACAGTAAGATTGACTCCCTGCTATCATCCGTTAGTTTGTCATCTGGCTTTCCCATCGGACAAGTCATAGTAAGCATTTGCTCATGTGGTTAAAACCATTGTAAAACATGACTTTTAGGTTGGCGCCCTGTTTCCTTATTTGTAGGTATCATAACTCAATTGACCTCCCGTTAGATATTCATGTTGTTTATCACTTTTTGCCTTTATAAAATCTTTGTATACATCTCCATTTCCTTTAGAAATGACTGTAGGCAAAATTCCTGGGTCAAAGCCTTTTTTTTTTTTTTTTTGGACTAAGATTTGCAGAGCCCAAAGTATTTATGCCAATTTATATTCCCACCTGCAGTGAACGAGAATGCAGAATTCACCAACCATCATTAAGTGTCCCCAAACTAAGATAAGAAATCTAGAATCTTATTATGGTTTGTATTTCTTTGATTATTTGTGATGCTAACTTTCTTCATGTTTCTTGGCTGCTTGGCTTGTTTTGTGTGTATGTGATTTGTCTGTCATTTCCACATTTACGTATTTAAAAATTTATGAAATTGAGTTTCTGTTAAATTGGAAACCTTCTTCGCATGGCTTATTAACTCTTTCACTATCAGGCACTGCAAACAGTTGATCCATTTTATCATTTGATTTTTAATTGTTAATGGATTCTTAAGGTGTGCGTTTATAAATCCAAGTACATAAATATTTTTCTTTGTTCTTCCTTCCTCTGCTTTTATGTTCAGAAAGACCTGGCACATCCCAGGGTCAGAGAGATATTAATCTACATTTTCTACTGGTATTTTTGTGGCTCTTTTTATTTTTTTAAAAAAGTGTTTAAATCTCTCCGTTGTTGGAATTTATTTTGGTCTGTGTGGTAAGAATCTAGGTACTGAAACCTCATTTGCTTACTGATCTAAATCTTGAATGCTATTGGGTCTTTTTCTGTATTTTTAAAATTTTATTGCATTATCTGTATGCCTCCACTACTTCGGCCACAACTCTCCCTTTTCCGTATTGCAATTTAAGAACATTTCATAGAGACGCCTGGGTGGCTCAGTCAGTTAAACATCCCACTTCGTCTTGGGTCATGATTTCACGGTTCGAGCCCCGTGTCGGGCTCTGTGCTGACAGCTCGGAGCCTGGAGCCTGCTTCGGATTCTGTGTCTCCCTCTCTCTCTGCCCTTCCCCTGCTCGCACACTGTCTCTCTCTCTCAAAAATAAATAAACATTAAAAAAAGAATATGCTTTCATGTCCAGTAAGACAAATTTGTCATCCTTACAATTAATTTCTGGGTTATGCCCCCCTCTTTGTTATTCCGCACGAACTCATCCAGTTCAAAATGTGAGTACAAGTTACGCATTAACGTGTGGGGACTTGAAGTCTTTAATTCTGAGTTTTCTCATCTACCGTTTAGCTTTTCCTCCGGATTCCTGCTAAGTTGTAGCTTCCATGTGTAACTTCTCACTACAGCCTCAAGTTTATTCATTGTTGTTATGAATACAATTTCTCTATTAAATTTCACCACTGCAGAGGAAAGTTACTTACTTGCATATTTTTATTTGCTATTTGCCACTTCACTGCTTAAGTTTTTTTTTTTGAGAGACAGAGAGAGAGCAGGGGAGGGCAGAGAGAGGGAGACCGAATCCGAAGCAGGCTCTGCACAATCAGTGCCAAGTCCGATGTGGGGCTTGAACCCACAAACTGTGACATCATGACCTGAGCTGAAGTCGGATGCTTAACCGACTGCGCCACCCAGGTGCCCCAACCACTTTTCTTTTTTTTATTTAGAGAGTTTGCCAATTGATTCTTTTTAAAAAAATTAATGTTTATTCATTGTTGAAAGATGGAGAGAGACAGAGCACAAGCAGGGGTGGGGTGGACAGAGAGGGGGACACAGAACCCAAAGCAGGCTCCAGGCTCTGAGCTATCAGCACAGACCCCGACGCGGGGCTCGGACTCACGAACCACGAGGTCATGACCTGAGCCAAAGTCAGCCGCTCAACCGACTGAGCCACCCAGGTGCCCCCGCTAATCGATTCTTTTGAAGCATGTAGGTAACTATTATCTGCAAATAGAGCTAATTTTGCTCTCTTCCAACAAATTACGTCATTTCTTCATCTTTTCCTGTCGTATTGCAAATGGTTAGAACTTTCAGATTATTCAAAAACATTCTTTATTTGAAATGCCTCTGATATTTGACTATTAAATGTGATGGCTTGAATATATATGGCAGTTTTGAAGAACTCTGGCTTTTGGAAAGTGCTTTTGGCTTCAAATGGCAATCCCCCTCGTCAACCTTCTGTTCACTGGTCCCCTTGGATGACCCCCATCCCTCCCTGCCCAGCACTGAACAAGTCTTACCCTTTTCGGACGCAAAGACTTTCTATCTCTATACAGACAACCTCATCACTTACCTCCTGAAACTTCTTTTCTAAAAACCCACATTCCTCTGGGGGAGATCAATTCTCAGACCACCACACCCATGGCAAACCTGAACTGCTATCGTTTTGCTTAGCACAGCATATGAGACGACCAGGCTATTTTCCGCCACCTTCAAAGTTAGCGTCTTGTGGAAGATTTTTTTTTTTTTTTTTTTAATGGTTGCATTTTGAGAAAACGCTCCACTGTTTTCTCACGTAGGAACCGTTTCATGTGCGTTTGCTGACTTTTTTGCCGGCGAAAAGTAACAATGACCTGGGATTTCGCAGCTGCCGTGCGAGGAGGGTTGGTTCCATGGGGGAGACTGGGAAAAAGAGTGAGAGCAACGGTTACTCATAGTTGGGGTCACCTATGTGGCGAGAGAAGGGTTGAGCGCTTTGGAGAGGGTCGGGCCCGACAGCCTTGGGAAGCTGAACGCATGGTCTCCCTATTACTCCGAGACCGCGTTTCTGCGATTTTAAATTGGGGGTCATTACCGGTAAAACGTTAGGACGACAGACAATGTGTGTAAGGCATCTGGACACTTGCTACCTACCAGGCACTTACGGAGACAAAGTGCAAGCTCCTGGGCAGGTTTGAAGGCAGGGGCACAGGCCATGTTATAGCTAACAAAATGGAAAGAAAAGGCCTTTCTCTGCTACACAGAGTTAATTGCAAGCACGCTCGAGGATTTCAGGGTTTAGCCGACAGGCAGTGCTGTGCACCGGGTGGGTTCTCGGGGTTTCCAGTCCCTGCCTTCCTCTTCTCCTCTGCCTGGGTTGGCCCTTTCCATGGAGGCCAGACATCACTGGACCCCACCGGCTGTCCCAGCCTGATCGAGCATGAGCCCTGAATGTTGAGATTTTGACTGCCTCTGAGCGGGACAGGAAGGGCTCCTCATTGCGATATGAGGGCAAAATAGTCGTCGTGGCCAGGTGCCTGGCATTTAAGAACGTCCTTGTTAGCCCGCCTTAATTTTTCCAATTTGTTAGCCTGGAAAGCACCCTGATCAGTATCAAACTGAGGTCTTCACAAGGCGGAATGAAGTTTCTCTTCGATGTTTCCCAAAGTGAAGGTAGCAATCTGGATTTTTTTTTTTTTTTTTTTTTTGGTTGCTTGGTGGGAGGTTTCTGTATTATTATTGTTTAAAGTCAATTATCCTTTACTCCGTGTTCTTTTTCTGTTGTTTATTTTATCTGTCCTTCTCTCCCAGAGGGGCAGAATTAAGGCCCCCATTTGGTTTTTATTAGCGTAATCAGTTAATAGCTCTTCTATAATGCTTTACTTATTGTGTTAATTTTCTGTAGTTATGTCCAGAGGCAGCTTCCTGGAAGACCACATTAAAAAAAAAAAAAAAAAAAAGATAGAAGTTCTAACTTATTTCTTCTTTAATGGGTCCGGATAGCATTTATAGCATCAGCTAAGATTATTGAACACCGTTGATTTACAAGATTATTGGAAATATATATAAACTGCCGTGACTATTTTAAATAGGTCTATGGTAACGCTAACAATTCCATTAGTATGGTGCCAGTGCAAACACTACCCTTAGTGTTTCTGTTGATCTGGCTCATCACACCAGTCCTTTGGATTTATCTAGAAGGGGTTAGAGGAATGGGTGTATGCCGTTCTCATGCATACCGTGGAAGTCACTATAGTTCTACTGCACAGGTTTTAGCTAAACTCTGGGTCCCAGGGACCACTGTCCAATTGCTGGTGGGATTTTATTTATTTATTTATTTATTTATTTATTTATTTATAATGTTAAATATATATTTATAATAAAAATATATTTTTTAAAGTTTATTTATTTATTTTGAGAGAGAGAGAGAGTGAACAAGTAGAGGAGGGACAGAGACAGAGGTAGAGAGAGAGAGAGAGAGAGAGAATCCCAAGCAGGCTCCACATGGGGCTCGAACTCACGAACTGTAAGATCGTGACCTGAGCCAAAACCAAGAGTCAGATGCTTAACCGACTGCGCCACCCAAGTGCTCCCAATTTTTTTTCAGTCTGTGTATTTATTTTGAGAGAGAGAGAGTACAAGCCGGGGAGGGGCAGAGAGAAGGAGAGACAGAATCTCAAGCAGGCAATGCACAATCAGTTCAGAGCCCGAGGTGGGGCTCGAACTCAGGAACTGTGAGATCATGCCCTGAGCCAAGATGAACAGGCCAATGCTTGCTTACCTGACTGCGCCTCCAGGCACCCCACTGGTGGGGATTGTAATGGGAATATCCTACATGGTCTTTGGTACTCATAGAGAAGTCCTCAAATTAAAATGGAGCTTCAGGGCACAGCATAGGCACAGGTAACACAGACGATGTTTATGATAAATGTGATAGGTTGAGCCCCCATGTTAGGTTGAATGTATGAATGAGATGAATGTCCTGAAGCAAAGCGAATGTGACTTTAGTGATCGGCATCGTGGGTTCTAGACCTGCCTCTGACACCATCCGGCCCTCCACCTGCCTGGGACGTGAACTGACTCTAAGGCCTCTCAGGGTCACAGTTTCCTCCCCTATAAAACAAGAAGTCAGGATGAAAGTTCTAAGGTTCCTCCCAGCTTTCACCCCGTATGCAACGCACAGTCAGTAGGAGCTCTGTGCACGAGCTCAGTGAGGAGGGATCATTAGTGGGTGATCGAATCAGTATTAGAATGCTTTGCATGGTTTATCGAGTCTCTGGAGATGAACACAGCACTTGGCACAAAATAGGGGCCCATCAATGCTTTCATGATAAATTCATTTTCATGGCGATGCCTGTGTAAAATCCCAGTTTTGAGAACCGTTTCTTGGTCTGGCACAATGGCTGGGAGTGGACGTGGGAACAGCACCGGAAGGAAAGTCACAGGGTCCTGCTGTGTGAGCCTGGGCAAGTCACTTTCTCTCCTTGGGTCTTTCCCCTTTCGTTTGTCCCATAAAGGGGTTGGAGAAGAATCACCAAGGTAGCTTCTAACCTTGCAAGAATTGGCTGCTATGTAAAGCAAACGAGAAGGTTCAGATGTTCCCCCAACAGCTAGTGCCCAGAGCAGTTGAAGTGTATTAGCTGTGATTTAATGCTCCTGGGAAGCAGGACGCGGGTTTGCTACGGGGCTGGGCTGGGAAGGACAGGACAGAAAGGAGATCTGTGTGCTGAGCGTTGGCTGAAATTTTATGCAAAGAAGGAAATGAGGTCTCCTGTAATTGCCTGTTTCTGAGCTACAGAATGTATCAAATGCTGTGTTTAAAACGGCGCGATGCCTAGTTGTTAGCACAGCGAACCACCTGTTTTGTCTGTCTCTATACCCAGCCAGTGGTGGTGATGTTTGAGAACTTTCCTTTCAGGCAGTTCCATCAAAGAGGGGCAGTGGAAGGCGACCCAGCAAAGTCACGACTGAGCATATTTGAAAAGAACAGGGATGAAGCCCATATACATTTCAATGGAAGTATTTTTAAGGCATTTCAAGGAGGTGTCTGAGAAATAATTATGAAGTTTAAAAAGAAAGAATCTTAACTTTGATCTGATTTTCTTCTGTGAAGCAATTAGGCTCATCATTTTTCAAGTGCTAAGCTGAAAATTCTAACGGCTGGACCCAAACCCTTTCATTTGTGTCTCATGGGACTTCTATAATTCCAAAAAAAAAAAAAAAAAAAGAAGTTAAAAAATTTATTAAGGTGATTTTGCAGAGGGATTAATGTGTAAAGCATTTTGCTGGTCAGCTCTCATCAAGCCCACAGCATCACAGAATAGTGGAGATTAAGAGCTAGATTGAAATTGCGCGAGAGTCCAATTAATAGCACAGAATTAAGAAACCTGTAAAGTTGATTTGACGGAGGGGAGAACACCGTCAAGGTGTGATCCGAATTTTCCTTTCCAGGGAATATATCCTACCTGAATTTTAGTATTCACAGGACTAGCTCTCAAATTAAAATGGAGCTTCAAAGCTGAGCCAAAGGACAAACTAACTGACCTGAAGAATAGCAAAGGAGAAACTTACTATAAAAAAAAGTAATAGGGGCGCCTGGGTGGCGCAGTCGGTTAAGCGTCCGACTTCAGCCAGGTCACGATCTCGCGGTCCGGGAGTTCGAGCCCCACATCAGGCTCTGGGCTGATGGCTCAGAGCCTGGAGCCTGTTTCCGATTCTGTGTCTCCCTCTCTCTCTGTCCCTCCCCCGTTCATGCTCTGTCTCTCTCTGTCCCAAAAATAAATAAACGTTGAAAAAAAAATTTAAAAAAAAAGTAATAGATTGAATCCCAATGTTAGGTTGCATTTCTCCTAAATTTTTTGAACATGAAATCCCTCATACTTCTTATACTAAGTGCTAGGCTATCAGTTCTCTCTCTCTCTCTCTCTCTTTTTTAAGTTTTTAAATTTATTTTGAGAGAGAAAGGGAGAGAGTGAGCAGGGGAGCGGCAGAGGGAGGGAGAGACAAAATCCCAAGCTGTCAGCACAGGGCTCGAACTCACAGATGGAGATCATGACCTGAGCCCAGATCGAGTCAGATGCTTAACCAACTGAGTCACCCACGTGCCCCAAGACTGTTAGTTACTTGATGGGAGAAAATGGGTATTCATTTTTGCTTTCCCAATGCCTGGCACATGGTTCTTAGCACAATATTAGATTTTTATTAAATGTTTATGAAGTAGCAGCATCAAAATATTTTCTTTCTTTTTTTTTTTAATTTTTCAATGTTTATTTATTTTTGGGACAGAGAGAGACAGAGCATGAACGGGGGAGGGGCAGAGAGAGAGGGAGACACAGAATCGGAAACAGGCTCCAGGCTCCGAGCCATCAGCCCAGAGCCTGACGTGGGGCTCGAACTCCCGGACCGCGAGATCGTGACCTGGCTGAAGTCGGACGCTTAACCGACTGCGCCACCCAGGCGCCCCTTTTCCCCCTTTTTTTTAAAAGTTCATTTATTTATTTTGAGAGAGAGAGAGAGAGGGGCAGAGAGAGAGGGGGAGAGAGAAAATCCTACGTGGGGCTCTAATGCATGAAACCTCAAGATCATGAGCTGGGCTGAAATCAAGAGTCGGACGCTTACCCGACTTAGCCACCCAGGCGCCCCTGGTATGTGTTCTGTTGATGTCAGATGTGAATGAGTTAAAGCTCTAACCTTGAGCTTAATGGTTTTCTCCAGCCCGAGACTGGAGACTCTTACATACTGTGCTTGGAGGGATTTTGTAGTGGGCACATTCCTACGACTTGAATATACCCCCGTGGGAATAGAGCAGAATTGGAGCTCTAAATAACCCTAATGATATCGGGTAGGAGCCCATCAGGGAATTGTTCAAGTTTGTCAGAGCATATTAAAATACAATACATTCACATCATCAAAAAGGATACATCAGTCCACCTGTCTCTACATTCCTTTCTGGTATTAAATTTGTCCAGGGACTTTTCAAAATTACACCTACCTCTACTCCTCCCTTAGTGAATAGACATGTGGAGAGCAAACCAGAATAATGCACATTGGTGAAAAGTCCTATAATTGAAATCATTATTGCTTAAGACACCATTGCTTTAATCAGCCCTATCATAAATCAATGCTTCTCGCAAGTGAAGGTTTGAAATAAAGTGCTCTTAAACAGATTGGGTCTCTTAAAAGGCATGATGCAATTGGGAAGCCCCTGAAAATGGATAAAAAAGTGGTTTCTGAATAGATGCGCTGGTTCTAGCATTTTATCTTCCACTTAATTTTTAAAAATATTACCTGGTCCTTTCTTAGAAATTACATAGTGGAGGCCTGTAATGGCCAGGCCTTTAACCCATTAAAAAAATTTACTCCCAGGAACAGTTAATATTTGACGTTTAATTGCTTTTCCTTGTTGGAGAGGAAAATCTGTTTCTTTCCTTCCTTTCTTGATTGACTTTTCAAAAATCACCTTGTGAGCTATAAAAATGGAGAGGAGTAATTGATTTTCAAAAACTCAAGTGCACGCACCTGTATTTGCATATGCGTCGTGCGTGTGTGTGTGTGTATGTGTGTGTGTGTGGACATAACAACCTCTGTGTACCAGGAACAGGGACTTCCCCCACAATAACTGTGCAAGGCGGGTGTTACTATTTCCCGTTAACGTGGAGGCAGCGGAGGCTCAGACTGGTTCACTGCTCGCGTTGGGTCACACGGATAGTAAGCGATAGGAGGCTGAGTCTTTATTTCTCCAACCCTGGGGCCCGCCTGTAGGGGGGTTTCATACCCAGCAATGCAGGCATCCATGGAACCAGGCAAAAAGGCCATGCCAACGATCCCCATCATTGGAGTAACTAGTCTTCACTAGCCTGTTTAGCTAACGCCACGTTCTGGAATTTAGCAAAGGGTGCCACGCGCCATCCAGAAGCGTCGAAAGAGTCCAGCTGTGATGTGTGCCCTACGCCATTGTAACGGAACCAGGAGAAGCGGCTGAACACTCCTTATAAGAGATAGCAACCCAGGAGAGATTTCTCCTCGGAGAGTTTTATGGGGATGAGCGGGGGTCAGATGTCCCCTCATTGGAAAAATGCCCACGCAGGCTTCAGATGAAGTTTTGGGGCTCCTCAGGACTGGTTTCAAGAGAAAGAGGGGGGTCACCAGGACGTTGGTGTGGAAAGGGTGAGGAGAAGCCTCTTTCTGGTTGCCTCGCGTTAGAAAATTTCCGTTTCGACCTTGTCAAGCCCTCACCTTTCACGTGTGCTAAACTCACTAGCGAAGGCCAAAGGGTTCTCTTTCTCTCTTGTTTTCTTCCCACAAAACCAGGTATTATTTAGGTCTCTTGCAAAGCTGCACAGACCAACTGTCCCTCCTCAGATTATGCCTTCCAGAGCTCAGGCGATATGCCTCCTCGGGTTACACCTTCCACGTTTTGTGGTCAAATGTGGGCTGTGTCATTGTTCGTGACTCCACCTTGCAAAGAAAATATTTCTATATGGGCCTCACCAGGTCTCGTTTCCTCTGGGATTGCTCCTGAGCGGGCTGTCTTCATGCCAGGGGCGGGCAGTCGAATCGCTGGCCTTCACGGGACCACTGGACATCTGGCAGAAAACCGGAAGCCGTGACTTCGCTCAGCCGGAAAGCTACGAGGTGTGTGCCCGTCGGATGAGACATTGCTGAGAGGTTGAGTAGGATACTTGGAGAAAGGGCTTGGGAGGAAACTGACAGATGTTGAGGGAATGGAAATTTGTACCATTCACAGCATTTTTTTCTAGATCTGGAAACACAAAAGCTTACTTGTACACGGTCTTTCTGTTATTTATTTATTCCCCCCCCCCCCTTTTTATTCCTGGTAATGGTGATTCCCATTGTTTACAGAGCTGTGGTCAAAAGTGAGTCCTACAGGGGCGCCTGGGTGTCTCAGTCGGTTGAGCGTCTGACTTTGGCTCAGGTCATGATCTCACGGGTGCGTGAGTTCGAGCCCCGCGTCGGGCTCTGTGCTGACAGCTCGGAGCCTGGAGCCTGCTTCGGATTCTGTGTCTCCCTCTCTCTCTCTCTGTTCCTCCCCCACTCACGCTCTGTCTCTCTCTCCCTTGAAAATAAAGATTAAAAAAATAGACCCACACTTGGAGTTATTTAAAAAAAAAGGGGGAGTCCAATATAGCTGGAGTATATTGTCAAAACCCTTTTTGGAAACCCATTTGGCAGTGTGTGAAGACCATAAAAATTTTTCGTAACGCTTGAGCAAATGATTTTACTCCTGGGAATCAATCCCAGTACCAACAACAACAACAACTGCTCAAAGGTGTTCTTTACTTTTTTTTTAATTTTAATTTTTTAGAAGTTTTATTCATTTAAGGAATTTCCACACCCCGCATGGGGTTCGAACTCACAAGCCCGAGATCCAGAGTCACATGCTCCACCGGACTGAGCCAACCAGGTGCCCCTCCAAGATGTTCTTTAAACTATTGTTTACAGTACTTAGAATCTTAATGTAAACCTAAGAATATGGGACATGGAACTATCAAATGTTTTCTTGACGTTGGTTGGCAAATGATGTCATAACATCGGGATGGGATGTGTACTCCTGATGATTACAGATATGTGGGCAAGATATGCTCAGTCATCATAATGGATAACATTTATTGTCTCCTTAATACATGACAGGCGATGTGTCAGATCCTTTGTAATCACTGCCTCCTTGGGCGTGCTCGCCAGATTAAGCCAGATTTTTTTGGTCTCCATTTTACAGATAAAGAAAAAGGAAGGTTCACTGGATTATCTGAGGTCGGACTGCTGGGGTGAGAATTGAACCCCATCCTAGTTGACGACAGAGTTTACACTCTTATCATTCCTCATGACGTGTGGATAATTTTATTTTTTAATGCTTATTGATTTATCTTGAGAGAACAAGAGAGAGCGTGCACCCGTGTGTACGCGGATAAGGAGCGGAGAGAGAGAATCCCAAGCAGCCTCCCCACCGTCAGCACAGAGCCCTACGTGGGGCTCGATCCCACGAACCGTGAAATCATGACCTGAGCTGAAATCAAAAGTCGGGACGCTTAATCGACTGAGCCACCCACGCATCCTTTATGCGGATAATTTTAAGTAAAAAACAAATATTAGCCCCCCACCCCCCCCCCCCCCGCAACAGACCCTGGAAAGAAGCCCCCAAACTCCAAACCCAAAACAAGCCAGCACCAACACACAAAAATCTGACAAACTTTGCTCTTCTGGTAATCACACTGAAAAGTACATAGCAAAGCTTAGACCAAGAGAACGCGCCAAAGTTGAAAAAGCTCATCTGCGACCAGCCAATAACATGCCAGGTGGGTATCTGAAGCAACAGTTACTGTTTAGGTCTTTTCTCTGGATGGGAATTAATTCTCTCTTTCGCTGAGAGAATCCAATTAATATTATTCTGCCAATTTAAGGAAGTAAATTTTACAAGGAAGCAAATCTTGCGTTTAGGTGGGAAAGAGTTTGTCCAAAGAGACTTGAGAATTCTCTTGAGGACCAGGCCCTAGACCGGCGGTTCTTAGCTTATTTTGTGCGAGAATGCATTCGACAATATTGGTGGCAACTGTGGTGTCTGATTCCGGGGGGGAAAAAAACGTACGTGTTCATCTGTGCCGCGTTTTGTTATATATCTGTTTACTTTTGGAAGCTTTCAGGGTCGTGGCTGGGTTGAAGGTTTAAATCAAAATGTCCCCTTGTGTTTTGGCTTGCAGAATGTTCTTTGGCCCCCGACGTGGGGTGGGGGGTGTTGTTTCGCTGGTGCTCCAGACGCCCCTACGGTTTCTTCGGAGCCTCGTCTACACCTGCGACACTAAGGTTTGTGAAGTCACTCGAGTCTCATGAAGGATTTAGTTGCACTGCGTTGCCGTGAACGCTTGGATTTGGACGCAAGGCTCACGACTGCCTTCTGGATTTTCCATGGTAGGGTGAAAAAAAAAAATGCGCGACACACATCACCAAGAATCCATGTCTGTGCCTGGCAGTGTAATCGAGAAAAGCTTTGGAATGCGAGTGGACGGCATTATGAATAGCTTTCCTTAGCGCACCTGCAGAAAGGCACTACCATTAGACACACCTTTGCCAAGCGCGTGTGCGTAAGGCACAGTGTTAGACGGATGTGAAAAATGGGTGGGTGATGCCTTTGTAGAAGATTCTCCCAGGACTCTGATGGGCTGATGTTTAGAGATGCCCATACAGCCTCCGGGCGCTAAGAAGATGACAGCCGGGGCCCGATATCAGCCCATGAAATATTTTCATCATCAGGATGAAGAAAATTATTTTGCACCGTTTCTGTTGTTCGGAAGTGGAAACATTTTCGGGTGTGAATCCCCCAAGGGACTTTCTGTGGCCTCCCTACCTCTTATCCGGGATTGTGCAGTAGGGAGTCAGAAACGCCATGGGAAGAAGTCGTTCTCTGGGCAGTCGTCTCTGCCCATGTTACGGAAGACGGCAAAAATCCGAGCCATCACGCATCTGGCCAATTATGCAATGTTCCGTCGCGAGGGGAAATTCCTTCCTCACCCCAGCTGGTGAACAGTTATGCCCTGGAGCCCAGGACGGCCATGCCTTGTAACTTTTTAACCTAGTTAGTGTAACTGCCAATATTATTCCTATTCATATAAATGTCTAATCCTTTCTTGAATCTTGCTAGACTTATTTGCCTCAATAATACCCTGCGGCAGTGAATTCCACAGGTAGATTATACGCTGTTTTAAGAAGTATTTCCTTTTTTTTTTTCATTTTAAATTTGTTACCTTTTAACGTCACAGGATGGCCCTTGTGCTTGCATGAAGGGGCCCGGGGTCCAGGCGTTTCAAGTTCTGCTTTAATTTTTCCAAGCGCTTCGCCATCATCAGAACTCTGTCTTCGTCAGGTATTTTCGGTTTTGGTGTATCCGATCTTGATTAAACGAGATGATTGATGTGAATAGTCTCATATGGCTTTGGCACATAGCAGGCACCGGAAAAAAGCTCTCCTTGGTATTCATTCCACTTATTGGACAGCTTTTTTTTTTTTTGAGTACCTACTGTGTGCAGGAATCATTGTAAGTATTGGAGAGACAGCGTTGAATGAGACAGGGTCCTTGTTTGAAGGACCCAATTTCCTAGAGAAGATGAGCAGCGACATAGTGGACAAAGATGAACGGCAGGGTCCCCAGTCGTCGTAAGTACTACGGGAAAATTAGAGAAGAGTGGTTGGCAGAGGATGGAAGGGGCCCCATGAGATTGCACCGTCAGGGAGTAACTCACTGAAAAGGGGCCGGTTGAGCTGGCCCTCAAGGAAGCATCGGTGTGAAATCTCCATGAAGGTGAACCCACGCTCCCAGACAATGCCTGGCAGGAGGTAAGATTCCATCCTTATTTGTTGGGTGAGTGAATGAATGGAGGTGGAGAAGGGAAGCCTTAGTTATAGAAATCGTCCAGTAAGTTCCCATAGACCCAGGAGTTACACTTCTTGAATCCTGACATTCCGTAACTCCAAAGACCGTCGGAGTAGGAAAAAACCCCAGGGAACTCAGTTAGACACCAGTGGGTGTGAAGCACTTTGCCGTGTCCCCAGCCACCTCCCTTGGATGACCTTGGGGAAGTCACCTGGTCTCTCCTCCTCAGCCCTGCACGCCCTTTCTTCTCTCTTTCCCGTCTCCTTCCTTGTTTTCTCGGTTCCCTGTTTTTGTCCCTGCTTCTGCCTAAAACTCATCAGTGGCCCCCGTGGCACTTAGCTTTCCGCTAAGTGACTTAGGTGAGGGCGGCACAGGGGTTGGGTGGGGGGCGGTGGTTACTTTTCCGCAATACTGTCTTTTTCTTTTCATTTTAAGTTTATTTATGTATTTTGAGAGAGAGCGAGCACGAGGAGGGGAGGGGCAGAGAGAGAGACAAAATCCCAAGCAGATTCCGAGCCATCCGTGGAAAGCCCGACGTGGGTCTTGATCTCACCGTTGGGAGATTGTGACCTGAGCCGAAATCAACAGGTGGCCACCTAACCGACCGAGCCAGCCACCCAGGCACCCCTGAAATGTTGTCTATTTCTTAAGGACTTGAAACATGGAATCGGATGGCACTTTTGCCGGCTGACACAGGGGACTGGAGGTGTATTTCCAACAGCGATTGCTTGGTTTTATTTTGTTTACTGCTGGGTCTCCCGGGGTCAGATGAACCACACTTCTAGAAAGACAGGGGCTTTGCCTGAATTTCTGAGGCAATCCTTCCCCCACAGAAAACGGAGACTTTGGTTAAAATGACCTGATTGCCTGCTTGTAGCTTCCTTCCGTGTTTCAGAATATGATAGGCATACAGCGTTTCTTCTTTCTAATTGCCCCTTAATTCACTTTTAGTTTTTTCCCACGTAGGCAATTCGAAGGAGAGGCCCGTGCAGCTTTGCACGATAATGTATTAGAAAGGCATTTTCAAGGAATCAGTTATTAGCATTGTTTATACGCACGGTTCAAATTTACTGGCAAAGTGCGCGGGCCTCGGGTTTACGAGGTAGCGGTCTGCCAGGCTCCTTCCGGGAGAAACCCTGAAATGGGAGAAGTGCCCTTTTGGTTTCCCTCACCCACGCGTCCTTTGCCTTCTTCCTCTCCTTTCAACACCTCCCTCCGTTCCCGGCCCTACAGAACTCTGTGGAACAGCCGGGCCTTTTACACCTTAACGTGAAGACATTTTATGGGTTCTCCCCCCCCCCCCCGGCTCCAGGCCGGGCCCCCATGGAAGCGAGGTGTGCAAAGGAATAAATCTTCAATGGTATAATTTTAGACCGTGTGGCAACTGGGAAGGGCGGCTATTTTGGGCTGCGGGGCTTTCTCCTTGACCTGAGATGGTATTACTTTTCCTGCCAGGGGTGCGCTCGGCCAGGCCCGCACGCGGTCCTCTGAGCCACGTGCCTGCCATTGCTGGGGGTGCTGTGCCCTTCCAGAGTTCTGGGCATCTGTGCAAGCGCCTGAATCTGTCCACGTGCACCCACCTAGGTGGCATTTCGAGGTGGTGGCTCAGGCGACCCTTGGGGGCAGCGTCGGTGGGAGACGCTCCCTTCCACTCAGTGAGCGAGGATGTGTCCTGGTCCGGTGTTTGCCCCATCCCTCAGCCTCCATTGCTCACCCACCGCTCGGTGACCTTTCTGGGCGTCACCCCCTCTCTGAGCAAGGTGCCTGGGCGGTCTCTGCACCCCCCCTAGGAGGTCTCATTTGGAGCTGCACTTGGGGCGTCCTCACAGCGATCCTGACCCCCCCCACCCCCCGCCCCGCCCGCTGTCTTCCCACTCAAGCTCCTGATCAGCTGCAGCCTGCACACCCCTGTCCCGGCTGGGGAAAGCGAGTCAGGACTCCCCCGCAGCAGGTGGGCGGGACAGCGACCGGAAGATCAGAGGGTGGCCCGAACAACGGTGCTTTCCAGAAGAGGCTGGACAATATCATCACTGGGGAGAGTATGTCGTTCACAGTTGTGGTCGTTGATGTTTGTTTTTGTTTTGTTTTTTGAAAGAGAGAGCGAGCATGAGTGGGGGGAGGGGGAGAGAAAGAGAGAGAGAGAGAGAGAGAGAGAGGGAGAATCCCAAGCGGGCTCCGTGCCGAGCTGGGTGCCCCACTCAGGGTTCAAGCTCACGACTGTGAGATCATGACCGGAGCCGAGATCGAGAGTCAGAAGCCCCCGGGGGGCACCTGGGTGGCTCAGTCGGTTAGGCGTCTGACTCGTGATTTTGGCTCAGGTCATGATCTGCACAGGGTATGAGTTCGAGGCCCACATCAGTCTCTGTGCTGACAGCCCTGTGCCTACTTGGGATTCTGTCTGCCTCTCTCTCTGCCCCTCCCCTGCTTGCTTCCTATATCTCTATCGAAATAAAGAAAAATAAACTTAAAAAAAAGAGTCAGAGGCTCAACTGACTGAGCCCCCCAGCCACCCCTTGTTCATAGTTTTTACAACCCAAAAGTACGCCCGAGGCCCAGAGATCCTTCAGGAAGGAGGGATAGTATCAGCAAAGGACAACAAAAATGGGAATGGTTATTTTTTAAAGGATCCGAGCTTACGTATGCCAAAAAAGAGAAAACAGAAGCCTTCTATAGGTATAAGAGACTGTGGTGCTCTCTTCCATAAGCCCCCTGGCCATTAAAAAAAGGGGGGGATTTGGGGCGTCTGGGTGGCTGTCGGTTGAACGTCCGGCTTCGGCTCAAGTCATGATCTCACGGCCCGTGAGTTCGAGCCCCGCGTTGAGCTCTGTGCTGACAGCTCAGAGCCTGGAGCCTGCTTCAGATTCTGTGTCTCCCTCTCTCTCCCCCTCCCCCACTCGTGCTCTGTCTCTCTGTCTCTCTCTCAAAAATAAAGAAACATTCAAAACAAATTAAAAGAAAAGGGGGAGAATTCTGGATTTGAAGAGAGACAGAGAGAGAGAGAGAGAGATGGAAAACAGGGTGAGGAAGAGACTGGAAGACAAGAAGAACCCGACTAAGGAACGTAAAATTGTGGAGGGTGAGACAGAGAAAAAACGTATCGGGAGATACGATGAGGTCCGCTGGTGGCCCAGGCTGGGGTCGCCCGTAAGGCTTCCCCACCGGCACGCAAGGACTGACGCTGGCCCTCGCCGCAGCCTCGGCTGGGTCCTGCTCACTTCTCACCACATCTCGTCCCTGTGCTTCTCTCCTGGTCTACTCGGGGCTCCAAGGCGAGTAACCCAAGGGAGCAAGGTGGAAGCTGAACCCTCCTCTCTGGCCCGGCCCAGGCAATACCTTGTGGGTCCACGAGTGAGGAAGCTCAGCTCAGATTCAAGGAGAAGGCACGCAGACGCTTCCTCTGGATCTGAGGAGTGTTCCAGAAGCTGTGGCTGTGGCTGAAAACCGCCAAGATGTCCAGTCAAGACGTCCCCTGTTCTCGACCTTCAAACCTTCTTGTCTAGCTGGAGCTCTGAAAGTCAAGCCAGTGATCCTCGCAAACGAATGAAATATCCAGGCTCCAGAAGGGTGGGGCGGTAGAGGGCTATGCACCAAGTGGGGTACAAGGTCAGCTCTTGCGTGTGGAGAGGCCTGCGGCACTGGGCGGGGGGCACTGGCCTCTTATCTTCTGGAGGGCTTTGCGGGCGAATCAGATGGCTGCGGCTAACATCCCCTAACTCTGGAGTGGGTGTTCCGGCTCGCTTTATCCAAGCCCTCGTGTTTGTCTTGATGCCTTCTTATCTTGTGACCTGTTTTCTCTCCCCCTGCCTCACCTGCATTCCGACCAACCATCCTTGCTTTCAACCACGTTATTCTTCTGTGACCCGAAAGCTGTCTCCATCACTTTCTCTCCCTTGGTCATCAACCGGTGCTTTCTGTGCGTGGGAAAGACGCACCACCCCCTTCCTCTCCCTCGAGTTTGGCTTCTCCGCTGCCCTTGTCAGACCAGGTGCTCTCCCTGCGCTTCTCCGTGCCACTCACCTGACCGCTTGCAAATCTGTATCTCCATTGAGGGCTCCCTCCTTGGGGCCATTGTCTGTTGCCTTCTAACGCCGTGTCTTCCGTCCACGTAGCTCATGCCTTTCTTCTCTGTCTGACTTGTCTTATCTGAGGTGCCGTCTGTCTGGCGTGTCGCAGGGCCGTGGCCCCTGGTGTGCCCAACGCCCAGCATCTCCGTCGGATACAGTTTTGACATCTTCGCGGTGAGGCCTCGTCCACACCCGCGGACTTTCGGGCGGGATATGTTGCTCAGCTGCCCACCTTGGTCTGGTAAGAGTGTCTTATATCCCATCACCCCTAAAGACATGTTTCGCCCCTCGTCTTGGTCTCTGGTCGCCAAATATTATCCACTGTAGACATTCACTCTTAATCCTCATGCAGACTGGGATCCTTTCCTCCTCTTCGTATAAAAGCGATACATACCTGCCGTGGAAAACTTAGAACCCGCAAAAAAACCATAAGAAGACAAACGCCGTAGCCATCAACAGGGTTGACCCCTCCATACTGAGCATTTTTATTTGCAACAAAATAGAATCACGACCATCTACGTAGTGGGCAGTGCCTTCCTTCAGGTGGTTTGCTGTTTAATAGACTCAACTGTTTTCTCTTTTTTTAAATGTGTATTTCTTCGTTACAAAATATTTAAGTTTATTCATTTTGAGCAGGGGAGGGGCAGTAAGAGAGGGGAAGAGAGAATCCCAAGCAGGCTCTGCACTGTCAGTGCAGAGTCCGACGTGGGGCTCGAACCCGTGAACCATGAGATCGTGCCCTGAGGTGGAGTCAGACGCTTAACCCACTGAGCGCCACCCCCCCCCGCCACCCCAGGCGCCCCCGGTTTGTAGACTCAACTGTTACAAATCTACAGTCTCGGGCCCCAGCTAATTGAACCTCTGTGGCCATCTGCTCTCGCCTTAGGATGAAACCGGATGATATTAGGATCTGGAGCCATAATAGCACATCAAGGTGGGAATTGGAATTTTCACTTTGACCCTAAAGCTTTATTGGAGAAGGTGGTTTGCAAGAGACAAGTAGAGAAGACAGTTGCTGACAGGCTTTGCTTGGATCCTGGCACTCATTCCCGCGGGGAATTTTCTGCCCTGGTCTTTTATTCGTATCTCACATCCTTCCTCAGTGGGGGAGCTGGATCTGTGGGATTCTGATATTTCCACCTAACAATAGTTGAGAGAGGGGACACTCCCTGGCCACCTGCTCTTTTCACTTAATCATGGTTCATAAGCTTTTTGTTGGGGGGGGGGGGGTCGTTATCCATTCTTCCAGATTAGAAGTTTGGGACAGCTGTGGATGTTAGAATATTTATGGGGAAAGTGGACCATCCTACTCAAACTCTGGCTCATTAGGTAGCACTAAGTCCAAAATGCCTGCTTTGCCACTTAGTTTGGTATGTGATTTGGGCAAATTACTTAAACACTCTGTGTCTCCGGGTCCGCATCTGTAACATGGATGTAACAATATGGTCAAGTGATGTAACGTATCAAACATCCCCAGGACACAATCTGCCACACAAGTAAGCCTTCAGTAGATTTTGCGGATAGTTGCACGAATGATCAAAATCCTAAATTGTCTGTAATTACTCACGAAACGACCCCCCTGTTTTTCAGCATTATGATCAAAGCTGTAATGAAGGTCCCCAAATACTTACACATGATTTTCTTTCATTTATTTACTTATTAAAAATTTTTAAAAAAAATGTTTATTTATTCTTGAGAGAGAGACAGGGAGCGAGCAGGAGAGAGGCAGAGAGAGAGGGAGACACAGAATATGAAGCGGGCTCCAGGCTCTGAGCTGTCAGCACAGAGCCCGACGCGGGGCTCGAACTCGCGAACCGTGAGATTGTGACCTGAGCCGCTTTACCGACCGAGCCACCCAGGCGCCCCATGCATGATTTTCTTGAGAAAAGTGCTGGAAGTTGCATCTTCAGACCACAGATGATGGACATTGAAGAGTTCAGAACTGTCACTGCTTTTGCTGAATCATCTAAGTTGTCTACACCCCAGGCTTCCCCATGTTTTTCTTGTCCACAGTTTCAGAGACAGTGTGTCTCTTTCTGGGTCCAGGATTTGTTGTACGCTCAGCTTCCAACAAAATGAAAACCGGGTCACATCTGACATTTCTTTTGTTTATTTACTTACGTGTTGATTTTTACATCGGACACTTAAATTGAGACTCTTCCGAGTACATTTCACTCACTCGTTCAGTTATGCGCTCACATGCCCGGTGTAGATTAAGTTTGTGTATAAACTAGGCTTAAAGGATCGGTTTATATTCTCAGAGCTGACTCCTGCTAACTACAGATTGGGCTTTGGAGCTTTGAGGAAGAGTTCTAGACCGTTCTAAGGAAGTCAGATACTGACCAGGGCTGAATGATATCTAGGCAGTTTTTCCTCTCTAGAAATAAGAATATTGGAAATAAGAACCCCTTGATCCCTTGACCTGCTGGGGATGATCCACCTGCAGACCCTTCCTTGGCTTCCTGGCTCAGGAAATATCCACATGAGATCCCGTGAGATGCTTCTTTGAGCCATCCGCTGTGCTGAGCACTGGAGAGGCACAGAAAACCCAACAGCCTCCTTGTCTTCAAGGAGCATTGTCTGTTGGACAAGCAGATGTACACACCATTCTAGGTCCAAGTTAAATTTGCCAGAAAGGAGGAGGTTCCGCGTAAGGAAATTCCTGAGCCAAGGTCCGCACGGTTAGCCTGATGGTCTCCAGAGGGTGTTGGTTGGTCCAAAGCTACAGCACTTAAAACATTTTTAGTTGCCAACAGTTAACAACTGGAGATTTCTGTCTCCCTTTGGAAACAAACAAACAAATAAATGGATGTATTGGTAACACCGAGCCCTCATTTTACCCCGGCAGCAGTGAGGAGTGTCTGATCCGTTAGCCAGGGCTTGGGTTCTCTTTTTTAGCACTGTCCCCACCACGTTTGCTATCTGGATGAGCCACGGGCTTATGACCACAGGCCTAGTTAAAGGGCCTTTATGCTTCCCCAGAGAGCTGTGCTAGAAAGGAGGGCTGCAGGGTAAGCAAGAAGGTGCTCAGGCGGAGGGTGGACCACCCATGGCGAGCAGACTAGCATGTGCAAAGGTACTGGGGCTTGGGCACAGAGGCCTGCTTGGGTGATGACAAACAGATGGGACGGGAGAGGAGTTGGGTATTCGAAGGAAGGGACCGAGAGAAAAGAGTTGGGGAGGCATGCCAAAGTAAGGAATTTGGATTTTTTTTTTTGCTATTAGAACTGGAGCTGGTGACTGATCAAAGAATAGTTACAAAGAGTGCCTACTAACAGTGCCCTGACCTCAGCGGTGGCACCTTGCAGAGTAGGATATGTGCAGAACCTCATTACGCCCTGACACCGAGCCCAGGAGACTGTGTGCCTTACAGATGAGGAAAGACGGATAGAAGGAGGTTGCTTAAGTGACTTCCCCAAGGTCACAACCAGTCAGTTGGCAGAGCAGGAAGGGGACCTCAAGCCTGACTACAGAGCTCACCGCTTGACTCCCAGATGGCATCCGTGCTTCAGAACCACTACCCCGGGAGCCAAGGCAGGCTTGCTTTGGGAGTGGGTAGGAGAGGCCGGCAGACAGAGCAGGGGGGCTTCGTGTCTGTCCGCTGCCGCGGCCGGCAGGAGAGCGAGAGGGCCGCACCGAGCAGCGTCCGTGCGGTGCAGAGAAGGGGGTGGATGGGGGATACATGGAGTTAGACCCTCCTCCGTGGAATCTGCCAGCACAGGCGTTTCCTCTTCCTCCTGTGAATTCTCAAAACGCTCTGCGTCTCTTTCCCCGGGCTCCCTTCTGCCACGACCTCATGGCAGCTTTGCGCACCTCGCGGCAGCCTGTAGAGTTTAAGTTCGCAAGGGGCAGGGGGAGTTTTGCTTTCGTTGCCTCAATTTCCTTTTTGCATCGCCGAGCACAGTGCTTTCGTGAACGAACGCGTTCCCAAATTATCGCTTTCACATCATTTCTCCTTACGTATGCATTTATTTGCGAAGTCCGCGGCAGGTGAAACACTTTTTTTTTTTCTTTTTCTTTTTTCAAATAGGAACATCATCTCTTTACACAATCCACTTGAAGCTCTTTGGAAACATGAGGGAAAGTAAGACGGGGAAGTTGTTTAAAAGTGGCAAAGCTTTTAAGAGCCAATGTCACATTTATTGCTATAAAATATTTTTCTCTCTCTGTTAGACATCTGGTTCCCATTACGTACAGTATTGGGTACTTGAGTTCACCAGGCATTTTGCATACCAAGCAGTGTGCATGCGAAATCGACCCCCCCCCACCATCTACCGGTTCGTAGTTGTCTCACGCTAGTCAACCCTTCTATCACCAACTTAATTCTTCCCAATATGCTTTCGAGGTGAGTTTCTTCATACTTGGCTCGAGGACCAAGTTGCCAGCGTCTGAGAAACGAGGAACTTCATCGTGGAGTCCTTGCTTTGTGTCACTGCATGGTCCAACTATATAATCTAGCGGCGAAGTCAATGAAACATCTCAATCTTAAGTCTATATTTCCCGGTAACATTGACCCAGAAATGAGAAACACAATATGGAATGTTTGCTAATGAGTCGTGAATTTCATTATAATTGCTTCCACATTCGGGATAGTGCCCTTAAACCATCTAATCTTGACATATCCTGCAACAATCCCGTGTGTTGTAAATGATTTTGTTTTATTCCTTAGGTTACCGTTAAGGGGCTATTTTATGCTTCATTTCATTTTCTTAAAGAAAACCACACACGTGTGTGCACACGCTCACACACACACACACACACACACACACATCAGTGAGGCTTTTGCCCCGATGTGTATGTTTGGAAATAAAATAATTACGAAACCAAAAGGAGCCCCCATCCTTTGGTTCAGAAATAACAACAAACACATTTAGGAAGAGGGTTGAAATCGGGCCTGTTTGGAGTTCTTAATTCTCTGAGAATTAAAGCCAGAATCGAGCAATGCCTCGGCCAGCGGCATCCTGTCCCCTCCCTCTCTGGACTTAAGAATCTATGACTGAATGGACGGACGCAGCTAGCATTCAGTACAGTAATAATGGAAAATTAAATACGACTTTTAAAAACTGCTCACATTATAAAGTGATCTATTAGCATTATATGACTTTAGCACTTAAAGTGACTGATTCTAATTGGACGATTTGGCCCATGGCAAGCATTAAAGAGCTGCAGAATCTTGTGGGTATTTTAAAGTGGATTTTCTTTGGAGGAAAGCTTTGTTCTTGCTCCTGAAAAGGTTGTGTGGAAGAAATCGCTCAGTTCTGGCGGAGCCACAGGTGATTGTGTGTGTGTGTGCGTGCGTGCGTGCGTGCGTGTGTGTGTGTGTGTTTTCTTTGGTTCCCGCATCAATAAGGCAAATGGTAAAAACAGTTCTGCATTTTTTTCTCCTTTTTTTTTTTTTTTTATTAAGGGAAACTCTGTCTTTACAGCTTCTGGATATTACCCTGAGGGTCACTAAGATGCGGCTACGGTATCACACCTCGAGCTGAACTTAATTTAAGCACGTGATCACAAAACGAGGGGGTAATTCTCGAGGTATGGACTACGGGAAGCTTATAAACCGAACAGTATTATAAATGGCAGCTTCTTACGCCGAGGGAGTCCTTTTTATTTATTTATTTTTTAAAAAAATTTTTTTTCAACGTTTATTTATTTTTGGGACAGAGAGAGACAGAGCATGAACGGGCGAGGGGCAGAGAGAGAGGGAGACACAGAATCGGAAACAGGCTCCAGGCTCCGAGCCATCAGCCCAGAGCCCGACGCGGGGCTCGAACTCACAGACCGCGAGATCGTGACCTGGCTGAAGTCGGACGCTTAACCGACTGCGCCACCCAGGCGCCCCAACGAGGGAGTCCTTTTTAAATTTCCATGTTGAAGCCAAACTGAACTTTTACCTCGATCTCCGTGCATAGGAACTTCCCGTGGGTGGTTCTCGGATCTCTCAGTTGTAGAAAAACTGCCTACTATGCCTCAGAAGAGTTTTGATCCAATGGCCCATATTGTTATCCGAGTAACCCACCGCGGGTTCTTGAACGTGTGATTTAAAAACTCCATGGGGCGCCTGGGTGGCTCAATCGGTTGGGCGGCCGACTTCGGCTCAGGTCATGATCTCGCGGTCCGTGAGTTTGAGCCCCGCGTCGGGCTCTGTGCTGACGGCTCAGAGCCTGGAGCCTGTTTCAGATTCTGTGTCTCCCTCTCTCTCTGCCCCTCCCCCGTTCATGCTTTGTCTCTCTCTGTCTCAAAAATAAATAAACGTTAAAAAAAAAAAATTAAAAAAAAAAAAAAAAAACTCCAGGAACACGGTCGGAGCACAAACACCAGCCTTATTTGTTTGAAGCATCTCTTTCTAAAATGGGACTTTAACGGTTAAGCATCTGACTCTTGCTTTCGGCTCAGGTCACCATCTCTCGGCTTGTGAGTTCGAGCCCAACGTCGGGCTCTGTGCTGACAATGCAAAGCCTGCTTAGAATTCTGTCTCCCTCTCTCTCTGCCCCTCCCCCACTCGCTCTCTAGCTCTCTCTTAAAAATAAAAAGTAAAAAAAGGAAAACTGGGGCACCCGAGTGGCTACGTTGGTTAAACGGCTGTCTCTTGATTTTGGCTCAGGTCATGATCTCACAGTTTGTGAGTTTGACTCCTGTGTCAGGCTCGTGCTCATGATGTGGAACCTGCTTGGGATTCTCTGTTTCCCTCTCTCTGCCCTCCCCCCCTTGCACTATCTCTCTCTCTCTCAAAATAAATAAATATTTTTTAAAAAAATACATAAAATTGGCCTTAATCTTTTTTAAAAGACATGTTAAGGTAGAAAGAACTTTAAAGGCACACTGGCTTCTTGTGAGTTTTTCACTAACACTTCCCTGTAGCTTATAATAGCTCTCTCTCTTCCAAAACCTGGAATCGGCAGAAGACAGCAGAAATGCCTGTTATTGACCTGAATTAGGATAAAAGGAAAAGAGAAGATAAGATCATAGCCGTCGGCGCTCTGTTTATGAAAACATCATTTTGAGGATGAGCTTGAATCAGACAAAAGTAATGTACCTCCCTCTCCTTCCAGCATATTTGACATGCCAGCCTGATCAGACCAGGAGAACAATGTCCAGAATCAGGGCATTGCCTTTCCTCTATGCGAGTGTCGTGCAGGATAGCATCATTTAATCCTTACGATGGTTCTTTGCTGTTCTACAAATACATGTGAAACTAAAAAAAAAAATATATATATATATATATATATATAAATAAAAATATGAAGGCGTATGAATATAAGAACAAAAAATACAAATGTGTTTTTAAAAAAGTTATCCTATTTTATTTGAAAAGTTTTAGGACTCACAGGAAGTTGTAAAAATAATTCAGAGAGATCCTCTGTCCTCTTTACCCAATTTCCCCCTAGGATAGCATCTCATACAACCATAGTACCTTGTCGACATTAGGAAATTGATTCAGCACTGTTATCGCAGCTATAGACCTTATTTGGACTTAAACAGTTTTTTTTTATGCATTCTCTTTTAGGGTCTATATTAATATGGAGAAATGCATTGACCATCAGTGTTAAGGAACATCTCTCACTGGTAAGTATTGATGGTATAAAATATCCTCAGATGATGTGGTTTTGCATAGCCTGTGGCTGACTAAAGGGGAGGCAGGATTGGTTGTCTTAACGAGGACCCTTTATCCGTGTATTAGGTGACTAAGAAAATAATCAATCCTATAGCAAGTACCAACTGGAGACACAAAGATGGTGGCATTGACTCTGCTCTCAAGGAACTCCCGGAAGGAGACAGAAGAAGAATCAACACAGAGAGTTGTATACCACGGAGCAAATGAAACAGCCCCCCATTACTGAGCGCTAACAGGTACATTAGCCATAAAGGGATTAAGAGGCATAGCTCCGGTTCTGTGGCTCTTACTGTCGAGTGGAGAAGACAAGACCCTTAACAAGTGATGGCAGCAGAGGTTCTACCACAGGGCAGGGGGGCCAAAGTGAGTAGGTCCTGACCTGGTCAAAGGGTGCGGGAAAGTGACTCAGGAGCATGTCCTGTGACCACAGCCCGCTTTTCAAGATGTTGAGAATGACCGCTTACAGGATCTTTGGATAGCCCGCTTCATTCAGAGCCTATATAGCATCTCCTAGCTCTGGCTGTTGCCTGTGAATGGAGGGCTTGCTACCAAAAGAGCGGCCATTGTTTCTTAGAACTGACTCAGATGCTCTTTGATGTCATGCCTGATATGCCAGATCTTCCCTGCTCGACGCTGGGAAGGCCCGGAGCTGGGCTCACACAGAACAGGGGGTGGAGAGAGGTCTGTTTTCTAGTGGTAAGGGGGATGTGGTTCCCTAGAGCAGGGATAGTAGACCGTGCCAGAAAAAGAAGACCATCGTACGCTTTAAACATCGAGGTTCCTCATCCAGACTGTCACCATACTATCCTCAGCTAGCCTATTACAAATGTGATTCTGGGCGTTTCCTGCTCAGAACCCCTCAGTGGACTTGCGCTGGACCCCAGGTGGCATCCAAAATTCTTACTGTGGCCTAAAAGGCCCTGCATGGTCTGGCCCAACCTTCCTGTGTCTCCGGGGCTGGTCACATTCCACTTTGCCTCCAGATCCCAGGGATCCATTCTCGCTGGACTGTTTAATGGCCCTTTCACTTAGCTGTGTTCCACTCCTGGGCCTTTGCCAGTGCTTCCCCCTTGTACCTTCATCTGTAACCTCATTCTTCAGGCTTGTATTGTAAGACTTTCTATACTGAAGCGTCTGTCTCTATGAAGTTCCCACCAAGAGTCCCATTTTATCTGTACTGATGCCTCTTGTATGCATTACATATATAATCTTATATTCGATGATACAATTACGTATCTGTCTCCCCTATTATACTGTGAGTTCCGTGAGGGCAAGGATGATGTCTACTGTTGTGATTATCTCCTCAACGTTCAATAAGTATTTGTTGAATGATTTATTGAATGGAGGGATAGATGAATGAATGACATAATGATACGGCCCCTCCTTTCTCCCTTAAGTTTAAGGAATGTCCCATCTGGGATTTGGACATATTTATAAACTCTTTGTTTGGGGATCATTTGTTTTGGGTTCACTTCTGAGGTCTTTCTCATGTTCAGGCGGGAATAGCTTTTCGTAGGAAATCATGGCTGAGGCGATTTGGTCTCCGGTTTGGCCTATTCCAGTGGATTCTGTTTTGTGTGTTTTATCTGGTCATTTCAAGGCCACTCCAACAAAGGAGTGGCCATTCCTCATCAATGTCATGACCATTCATTGGCAAAGAATGGCCCGGAACTTCTTTGCTGATCTCAGGGCTCTCTGAGCATGGCACTTTGATATGTTAGTGATCTTGACAGTGGGAACACTTCAGCAGACAGGTCCAGCACACCCTTGGAAGAGCCTGTAGCTGGATTCTAGATCCAAATCCTGTCTTCACTGGCTTCAGGATGGAAAAGGTCATTATGGGTGGGGACGAAAGAGGCTCACTTGTGGATCAAATCTAAGAGGTATGTGGAACAGGGAGAGAGAGAGAGAGAGAGAGAGAGAGAAGCCAGGGACCATCTCCACGGAGGAATGATCTTTGAGCTAATTCTAGATTGATGGTCAGATTTGAATTAGTTCTATGGGAATATGTGACAGGAGGTAAGGATGAGGCAGAGGCAGTGGTGTGTGTAAAGGTCCTGGAGATAAGTCTGATAAGAAGGCTCAACCAAGCCTCTGGAAAATTAGGATACAAACCCATGTCTCTTGAAAAGAGTGGTCTTCCCCCTGTCCCTCAAAGTTGAGTTCTCTAGATAATTTCTTCAATTTTGTGGCTAGTACCTACCTAGTCTAGGCATATGTTAGTAATCAAATGTAGATTCTTTATCTTATATTTAGGTAGGTAGGTAACAATCTGTGTGAATTCCATCCCTTCCCTCCTTTCCTTGTAGGCTTTTATCAAGGTGTGTGTGTGTGTGTGTGTGTGTGTGTGTGTGTGCACGCACGGATCTTTACATTTATTTGTCTATCTTGCCCAGATATAAATGAAGATCACAAGATTTGTTTTTCATAAAAGCTTTGAGATTCTGGAGGGTTACTCCCAATGGTGAATGTGTAGCTAGTATAAAGGCAACATGGCCAGCCAGAAGGAGGTGAGAGTTTGGAGTTAAATGCCTGGGGACAAGGTTCAACTTTGCGATTGCTGACTTGTGACTTTGGGCAAGTCACTTAACCTCTCTGAGCCTCAGTGTCCTCCCTTCCAACTCTGGGGTGACAATTAAATTATTTGCCTCATTTGTCTCATAGAAGTATGCATGTGAGGGGATCTGTCTGAAAGAGATTCAAAAATTATAATGCACTTGGTCAATATCAGGCATTATTGTTATAGAATAAGTGTACCCTTGGGGCGCCTGGGTGGCGCAGTCGGTTAAGCGTCCGACTTCAGCCAGGTCACGATCTCGCGGTCCGTGAGTTCGAGCCCCGCGTCGGGCTCTGGGCTGATGGCTCAGAGCCTGGAGCCTGTTTCTGATTCTGTGTCTCCCTCTCTCTGCCCCTCCCCCGTTCATGCTCTGTCTCTCTCTGTCGCAAAAATAAATAAACGTTGAAAAAAAAAATTAAAAAAATTAAAAAAAAGAATAAGTGTACCCTTAAAAAATGTTACTGGTTACTGGAAGTAGGTGCTGTAAGTGTGGACGAGACCCTCCCAGGCTCAATGTCACTTAAAAGTTTACAATAACGTATTTCAAATATGGTGGCAATGTAACAGCCAGACATTCAAACATTTCTGAAAGCAATGGAAATTTACATTATGTTGCAGGTTTATCATTGACGTGGCAAGCAATTCAATGTATAAATATTGCGAATGAGAAAGTCAGTCCCCAAATAAAGACTGGTAAAACCTTGTGATTTATAGCAAGAAAGATATCAAAGTGAATTTTCCTGGGATATTCCTGGGTAGCTCATTTTGTAGTATGTTTGGAAATGATCTAACATTAAAATCACTTTTTGGGATATAGTAATAAACTTTCTCAAAAAGTCTTATTTAACCAGGAAGTAGCTCGCGTAACTGGGAGGAAATGCACACACATTTTATATGTAACAGAAGACTCTCTCAGACATGAGTTTTACAACCTGACAAATCTAAAAATGCACATCCAGGTCAGTACGAAAAACATTAGTGAGATCTTTTTGCTGTAAAAAAAATGACTTTCTAGAGACTCAGATCGGGTTCGTATTAAAGAGGACAGGGATGAGTTTATTCAGACAACACAAGCCCAGAAAACGTTTGGGGTAGTACAAACTGGCTTATTGATGAGTGACCGGGAATTAGACTATAGAATTGGAACCATAATTAACATCTGGAGAAGTATAAAACCATAAACCATTTTAGACCAAGATAGATTTGTTTTGTTCTCTTCTGTTTTTCCTTCTTTCCTATTTCTATCATGCCAGTTGGAACACTTCCCCCCCCCCCCCCACTCTTGAGACCCTCATGAATGAAATGAAAACAAATATTAAAAGACTATAGAGGAACAGCACAAGTGGCTTTGGAAACGGACCAACTACAAGTGGTTGTATTCATTGGCTTGCTGGTCAATATCTCCGTCAGCTGGTGCATGTAGGAAGCTAAGGAATGCTTTCTTGTCGACTTGGGAGATCAAAGTTTTGGATCTTGAAAAGACAAGACGTTTGGAGTGGGGGAGGGTGCGACACATTTAAAAATGGCCAATACATTGTAGGGCTGCCTTCGGCCACCCAAGAGGAGAAATCGAGTTGGTGTTCCGCCACCGATTCGTGGAGCTGAAGGGGTACATTATGGTCAGCTGACCACGGGGGCTCCTGGGGGGCACAACGTCGCCACGGGGCACTTTGCTACAGTGCCCCGGGGGTCTTTACTGATCCTGAGCGCCAGCCACCTCATCCACCCCAGAGCGGTCCAGTAGCTAGATGGCTCTTGAATATCACAAGCTGGCTTGAGCAATTCGGTTTTTTTCCTCTTTAGTAGAAAGTCTTTTGCCTTGGGAGGTGAGCCCACAGGGAGGGGTTACTTAGCTCGAGCCTCGAAATGCACACACTGCATCTTTAAGAAATAGTTTACTTGTGAATCAGTAAACGTACTAGACAAAGCGGCCATTACTTATGCATTCCTGCAGACCCTGCAAGGTGAAAATAATAGAATAAACATCATATACTTCATTATGATATCGGTTTACACTTCCAGGACACACAAAAAGAGGCCATTTCATCAAGCTAATTGCCTGAAAGTAAAAGAGAGAGAACTTTAGCTATTAGTCTATTATGGGGCTTTTTTCTTAATCACAAATAGGGGCCGTGTGTCCCTGGGGGGATGTGTATTCTAATTTACAATTGAACTACAGATCAGAGCAATCAATCTTGGGTAGCACTTTTACAGTGTAATTGCTACAACAATAACAAATACAAAAAAAGAAGAAGAAGAAGAAGAAGAAGAAGAAGAAGAAGGAGAAGAAGACGAAGAAGGCCTAGTTGAGCTTCAGCTTGAGGTGGAGATATTTCCAGGCACTAGCTCAGGGTGGGAGGGAGAAAAGAACCACAGCAAACATGAATATGCGATGAGGTCCCATTAGCGGCCTAGTGTTGCCATGACGAATGGCATTATCCCCGGCCTGGTGCTGCCTAAACATGAATTTTATAACGACCCATTTATCATGACTTGTCATGAGCTTCTGTACTGTACTTTCCTCCAGCTCACACACCTTTCCCTATGATGACGGTAAAATCTTTCCCTTTCCTATTATTGTTTCCTTTTGTATTGACTCCTGGCTCTCCGGAGCGAGCACCCGACTACAGCAACATGCTAATGGGTGATTTGTGACTTCAAGAAGGCGAAGGAACGAAA